TTTTTTAATCTTCGCTTATTAAAATTCGTGAATTTATTAGTCGAGATATATTGTATTGTAAAGCATATAAAAAAAAAATTGTTTATCAATTGTGTAACAATCGGGTGACTCAGGTGATAATTTTCTAATTTGGAACAGTCTCCCCTGAATGCCTAAGGCCAAGCATATCACGAGATTACCCAATAGTCACCTGTTACCGTTAACCAATCAAAATTGTGAAGTTTGATTAATCCCGGATCAGTCTGAAAATCAAAACAAATGTTTAAACTCAATTATCTCGAAATGAGATAAATGTAAAAATGTGCCCTTTTAATTGAAGACACCCCATATTATGCTTTTTATAATACCTTACATGCTATTAGCAATAATAATCATATGTCTAAAGAAATTTGTAATATTGCTCAGAATATTTTAAAAAATAAAAAAGTAAGTATAATAAGAATATCAAATTTAGACAGATGGGGCACAGCCAGGTGCTTGTACTTATTAAGTTCATCTTAATAGGAGCGGAGTATACTAACTCTTACAAGTACTGAATTGGATGCGTTTATTAAGTTCGCCTTAGTAAACATTATGGAATCTACCAATACAAGTTTTTGATAAAGGTTTACTAGTTCTAAAGGAAGAATCTTATATACCTTTATGTCAACAAAAATTTAACTATTGGGATATTCCTGCATCTGCCATCTAATCTTGATTTTGTCTGATTGTGCTTATTATGCAATATTTCTCATCCAATTTTGCTTTTCCATAGGCTGATATTAATAAAGTAATTGGCTTATAGAATAAACCTAGAAAGATACTACCATCGTCGTCATCATCATCATCATCACACCGTTGGTTGTGTCGGAAAAAAAATAAAAAGCTGAAGATATAGTGGAATCTTCGCCAAAGAAGAGGCAATGCACAATCACAAATGCACATTTCCTTTTTCCTGGAGTAAATGTACCTTTGCGAGCAGATGAATCTTTAGATATTCTCGAGATGTTAAAGTTGGCCGTATGACTTTTGATCAGAATGCAATTACACTTGGCTCGACTCGTTCTTATAAAAGTTCGAATTATTTGCAAGTTGAAACTAAGTGCAATGAAAAAGTCCCAAGAGAGAGTACTTACGATACAGAAATGTATCGAATTTTAATGAATTGGTTGGCAAAGGATCATGACTTTGAGATTACAAGCCAGTGGCATCTCAAGCAGGTCTGTGAAGATGGAGACTGGCATCATCTTTATTCCGATCTGACAATAAAAAGGAGCGCTGACCCCAACCCTGTAGCTTTACTAGAACTTATAGCAACAGGATCTATTCCGAAGTTAAAGAAACATTTCGAACAAATTTTTAAGTATGCCGACCAACTTTGCCCTCAGGAAGTTTGGGTTGTATATTTTTTTCAGGAGGATTCTATTGTGTTGATCCATATTGGCCTTCTAATAAACTGCAGGGGAGAGGATTAAATGTTGTGCATTTTTGGCACGATAAAGAATTTAAGAATGTTCATATGAGTTCCCGATTTCGAGATGCCACTGGTAAATTTCAAATCACCTAATTGATTATTTTTTATGGACTGAACAAACCACCCAAGCCAAAGTACTGAGCCATCAGAAATGATAATTATGCCTTTTCGAATACATAATATACTAAGTAAGAGGCCTTATCGTCAAGAGGTGAAGACTCAAGTAAAATTTTTTGTATAACTATATATATCTGTAACAAGTAACCTGGATAGCTGATCTATCGAAACAAAAGCGATTCAACACAAATTAATAAATTTGAAATGCAATACATACCCGGTTCAGATTGAATATAACTTTACTCATCAATGGCAGTATAGTAAGGTTAAATTTTGATTATAATTTTATTTTTTGGTGAATACATTCAATCACTCTCTGCGGTGTGGTTTGGTTGTTTAGGAAGTCTGCATCACCTTCCTCCTTACACATGCCTCACATTGAGGATAACGATCGTGCTCAAGATAAAGAAAAATGGCATATTTATATAAGTTTCGAGGTAGATACATTCGAACTAATTCTCATCTCGTAGCTCAGTGGACTAAACTGCGGAACGCTCATCAGGTCTTCTTCTCTTCACTACGTAGACAATAATAGTCTAACAATCATGCCCTCTATGATAGTGTTTTTATAAATGTAAAAAGAAAAATAAATTTTAGAGAGGAAACAGTCAGATCCTAAGCCTACCTCGAAAAGTTATAATTGCATCAAAAAGACTATATTATTAATGGATAGCTAGATAGCATATTTTGCGAAACAAACGAGCACTTTCGCCAAAGTACTGGGCTACCAAATGGTAATTATGAACATGTTCGATCTCACAACACATAGTCAGAGACCCTATCGCTCAATATTAGAGACGAAATTTTTTGCTTGACTAAGCATACCTGCACAAATAGCTCCAGCAACTGTCTTATCAACACAAAAACTATCTAGTGT